TTCTAACCAAAAAAAATCACACAGCAAAAGAATAAAAACAAAATCAAAGATCTGATATTGAGTATAAATACTAAATATTAAAAAAAATCTAATTAAGTAGATTGTTTGTCTCCAAACCAAAACGATTCGACGAGACTTTTAAATTGAGCACCATAACTCTACAAAAAAAAGTAACAAAATAAGAAAAAAACATAAAATATTAATCAAATTAATAACCAACTTTTGTTGTTTCAATCTGTTTAGCTGCTTGTGGATGAGCATCAAGACATTTTTGATAGCGTAACTAAAAAAATACATAAATATTTAAATATAAATAGACAAAATCAAAAACAAATTCTTTACTTTGCAAGCAGCTTCAATATTTTTACAAAGTTGAATACACGATGGTACGCAATGAAATACATGACATTTAAATGAATTATCTGCACAATGTATTATTATACCACAAAAACTAAAAGATTTATAATTTAAAAAAAGAAGTCAAAAATAAAAACATGCAAGAACATTACCTTGGATCTTGTCCAACACCAAGAAATGATAAATAACGAATACGACATTCCAGTAATTGTTCTTTTGTCTCCTATGAAAATAAATATTAATTAAACTGCTAATCAAAAATATAAAACCAATGTAGTTTTTTATTCTATGTTATGAAGCATTGAACTCAAATGTAAATATTAGTTTGAATAGACGATAAAAACTCTTTCTCATATACATTCCATATTGAAATTTTAAAAAAGGGCCATTAGTCAGGAAGGAACTCAACTTCAGTACTGGGAGCATGCTGTTTTCCCAACTTTGACTATTAGGCATGTCCTGAGACAAAGGTATTAGTGAACAAGATGAAGGTTTCTCATAGAGAAAGGTAAGTTAGTATGTATGAAGAACGCAAGAATTCTGCGACAGATCAGTCTTCTGTTCAGTGCTGAACGTGACATTAGTTGTGGAGAAGCTATTAGACTATTGAATCTGTTGTTAGACAGAGATATATTTCAAATCTTTGAAAATTAGTCTTTCGGAGTACTATATTAACGAGCACAAAATAGTAAATAGAATGATAGGTTACCACATTTGCTACGATCACCCGTTAAAAAGTTATAAGCATCACAAAAAATGCACTTTTCAGCCGATTGCCCACAATACTATAATAAATTTCGTTTTTTATTAATTTTTCTGTAATATTTATCACTTTGTGTTCGAATGTTGGAGAAAATGCGGCAATCTGTCATTTTAGAAAGTTTTCTCTCATGGTCGATCTATAAAATTTAAGTATGAAAATACATTTGATAGAGAATTTCATTTACTACTCAAACTATTATTTGGATTTGACTTAAATGTTTGGTATTGTTGAGAAAAAAAAAATACGTTGATCTTATACTTTTTTTGCCAATATTGTAGATTTAAAATTCAAATAAAACGTACATTATCAAATGAGATTGTAAATGATGAAGGAGATATATCAACAATCACTGGGATCCATTTATCGTCAGGAACTGTTGTAGAAACTTTTTCAATAGCTGGTCGTAGAATATCCATTCCACCTGGTTTTTCTACATAGACACAACCCAAATAAGTACATGTTAGATTATTTGTTGCTTCTTGCATTGGTGTTGGAAATGAAACTGAAAATATTAAACTAATATTCAACGAAATATATTTGAAAATAAATATTTCTTACTTGGTATATCATTCGTAATCGATTCTGGAAAAGATTTTGATCTATAAAATAAAATAGAAGTAAAAATAAATTTTTCTTTTTTCTTATCAATAACCGTTTATATTGAGATAAATCATCATCTGAAATCTCAGTTGTTCTATTTAATAAGCCACGTTCAATCATTAAATTTCGACATATATCACGTAATGTATTAGCTATTGTACGAGCTGATGTATTATCACATCGAAAAACATGACATTTATAAATTCGTATTGAACGATCTTTATCTTTAGCAACATAAGCAAAATCTCTGAAGAAAAAAAAAAGAAAAGATAAATCAAAATTTGATTTTCTTTAATGAAATAAAACCTTGAATTTTCTCTTCCAACACCCCAAACTCGAATTGATGGTATTGATTGTTTATGTAAAATTGTCATTTCAGTTGGATCAATTAAAAGTAAATCTGTATTATTAATATCCATATAAAGATCTTTTCCTTCACCCCAACGACCAATACCATCATTAATACCACGTGTTAATTCATAAATACAACGATTTACAGCACGACTACTTCGTTCATTTGTTAAATCTTGTTCATCAATCGTTGTCCAACCAAGAGAACGAACATGAAAACGATGTTGTTCAGTAGTTTCATCTGTTGTCTAAAGATTAAAACAAAAACAATTCATTTAAATAAAAAATTGAACGTTTGAGTTTTTTGTTGAGAAAAAGAAACTTTCTCGAATTGATGTTTAATATTCTTACGAACAAATCTTGATAAATAACAAATGACTTTTTAAACGAGTCTTATCTAGAAATGTACGAGAACAAAACTGCAACAAACAGAAGTTACTGTGATTAGGATTAAGAGAAAAAAAAAGTTGTCCGAACTGAAATTAAAAACTATAATTATAAGCGGATTATCTTATAAACTATCAAGTAAAACACTTATTCAAGATAGATAACTCAAAACAGTGCTATTCATCGACTAAATAAATACTGAAGAACTCTTTTAGATGTGATACGAATCAACACTGGGACATTCTTCTCTAGATGAGAACCGGTGGAATATCATTGAGCAGCTGATTTGTGCAAAATTTAGTGTTGAAAATGATTTGAGAAAAGTCACGACATTTTATTGAAATTTTCACTAAAATGGTCATAACAGATGAAAAAAGATTCACGCGCAGGAATTCTTCCAGCTAGTTTCAATAGGATCTATCTGATAATGTAAGATTCATCTAAATATCACTTGCTAGTTTTCATTCCAAATCATTAGCAATCATGTACTACACAAAAAAAATGCACTATAAAATTTGAACATAAATTAAAGTTTTCATCCATGCAAAAGTAAAGTATATATTTGTAATTTTATTTACTTTAATTGAAGGATTTGATTCACTTTTATATAATAATGAATTCGATTCAAAACATGTATCATTTGATGAAGATGATGAAAGTATTGATGATGGAGAATCAATGATTAATTCTGGACGTTCGCGTGTAACTGTACCAGTTCGTTTATGCCAATAATAAACACCTTCTTCATCTAGTAAAAATTTGCTTTTTTTTAATATTTTATTTGAATTTTTATACAGAAAATTTTACCTTCAAAACGTTCCCAACCTAATGGAAGATTTGTATCATCAGTAGTCTAAAAAAATCTTTTTCATAGCAAAATAACTTTAGTTTAATGAATACATACTTCTATTGTTCGTTCCATATTGATATGTATTCCACTATCAGTCGATTCAGTTGGTGAAGAAATATCAGGTTTTCTAAACCAAAAAAAAAACACAATTTAATTAATTCTTAAATTAAAAATAAAATGACAACATTACCGATCAGACTGGTATTCATTCATAGTTTTGGCTAAAAATATTTTTAAAAATATTCAACTATAATTTATCTACTATGATTGGCAAACGTTTTTTTCTCACTCTACTACATTCTTTAGATACTTTCTGCATACAAAGATAAACGTTTCGAAATAGGATATGGGAAATTACCCTTACACGTAATACTATACGAATAAAATCTTACTTTTTCAATTGTGGCATTTTTAACAATTGATGAATAACACAGATATGTGGTTGAGATGCAATTGGAGCTACGTACAAAGCAAATCAATACATTGTAGATAGCGCTGTAAACTACTAATGATAAAGCTTTTCATGATGAACAAAAATAAGCCAAATCATTTTGTTTTTTGTTATATTATTTTAGTAACAAAATCTTATTGAAAGAAATCTACATGAAAGATGTCACACTTGATGATGCGACTGTGATTTCTGTTTTTTTAGTTTTTGATTTAAACAATTTTTTGAATTGATCTTTCTCTCCCATCTTAAAAACCTTACTTATTCTTAATTTAAGAATTAAAAGAAAGTTTACAATCAAGAACAGTTTCACGAGATTTTATTAAAACATTAGCTTGAACAGTATTTTCAATCATTCTCATTTCTCTATATTTCATTGTTGTATTCTCTGTTCATTTCGGTGTTTGTTTAATAGATGTTTCATGGTATGAGATGGTAGCATTCAAGAACTTGTACGATTATGATTTTTGAGAATTTTTCATAACGTTTCGTATCTGATTTTCATTTTTACTTTCATATGTACATTTACTTATAAAGAATTACAAAACCTAGATGAAAACATTCAATTTGATTAAATTATCAGTGAAGTGATTGTTCAGTAGATCAGCACAACTATATACAAGGTGTAATTTCAATTCGAAAAATTAAAAGGTCTAAATTAAAACGTATTTTGATTGTTTAAACATATATTTAAATAAATGAAACTATCGTTATTAATACTATTTATATGAGTGAGATTTAAAATAATGATTTTAGGCGATGGTATAAGATCTTACGAGATTCCGGTTATTAGACTTTACAAGAATCTTATAGTGAAAATCATGTCAGATTCACAATAGTATTTGATGATTAGATAAATCGTACATCTTAAAGTAAGATATTTGCACGATTTCATAAGATGATACGGTATGGATCTTACAACAGCCAATTGTCAGTAAGATCATCGTAAGATTTTTTCATCTAAGTCGGTGTTCTATCTTCTGATATTATCTAATGTCACAAGATCAAACACTTGTTGTTAATGAAGAATACCAACTTTGATTTTTCCAAATATTCACTGCAAAGTACATGTTAAACGAATACGTTTCATTTCGAGAAATAAAAAAAAATGATCTTCGAATTACTAATGAAAATAGTTTATTATTTGAAACTACAATGTTTTTTTTTTTGTTTACTTTATTAAAAAAAAAGAAAGAAAAGAAAAAATAGAAAACATTCAAGTTTTTTTTTCTATTTGAATTGTCTTAAGCATCGGATGTAGATTTTACATCAGTTGGTGGTTTTTTATTATAAAAACTAATATTTGGCAAGGGATTTGAAATTGACGTTGGCAGTGATGGTAAAGCTGGCATTGGTTCTTTACGTACAAGTCGAATTACTGCGGCTACAAGAATACCAGCAACAAGGCCAACAAGTATTCCACCAATAACAGCACCAGCTTGTGCACCTGCTGAATATGATTCTTTAGTTCCTCGATTGCCGACTGCATGAGTTGACATAAATTGTTTCGAATCTTTTAATGAATCAGCTGTTGCTTGAAATTGAACTTCTGCTGTTGCATCATCAGTTAATCGCATTGTGAACTGAAATGTTCCACCATTAATTGCATCTCTAAGTTTATCTCGTGATTGTGCAGCTGTTGGTTCATCATCAGCAACAAGAGTTGATGATTCCGGTTTTGGTCTTGGACCAAGTAAAGTAAAGAAAACATTAATATCATTTGTAGTATCTTCATGAAATATGTCAATATCAGCAATACGTGAATAACTTATTTGCATTTTATCAGCTAGATTAATATGAACTTCTCTTTCAAGTAAACGTCTATTCAAATGATTTCCATCAAAAACACTATTTCGATTAATTTTAAGCATAAATCCAAGATGTAAATATTCGAAACCACTTGAACGATAACATATACTAACATCAAAATCTTTAGAAGTCCATTCATGAGACATTTCATAAAATTCATATTCAATATCTTCAGTAATAAGATTCAATGGTGATGGATTAGTTGGATCTGCAAATCGAAATGACTTTAAATATAAATATACTGGATAATCAAAACGTTTTTCTCCATTAGGTCCTGCTTGTGAAAAAGGTGCACGCACTGACCATGCATATTCCATATTTGTTGCTGCCCATGTTTCACCACTTGGTTTACCAGTATCAGGTTCTACCATAACAGGAAAGTTATCAATTGAAGTTGTTACTGATGCACATTGAATTGCGTTACCTCGACATGCTAAAATAATAATAAGAAAAAAACAATAATTCGAATAAAAACAGAAATAAAGAAATTAATAGAAGAATATTTCTTACGTCGATATCCATTAAATTCCCAAACGGCATCACGTGAATTAAAAAATCTATCTTCATTCTTAATAAAGAAGCTAGCTGGATCCCGAATTGGATTAACATCAGGATATTCAACACCACGATTAATTTTACATGTACCAGTACGACGATCAATAATATATGTTAAATCATCACTAAAATCATGTATAATAGATTCAAAATCTTCTCCATCATTTGGTAAATAATCGTAACGAATACGTCTTGAACCACGTTCACGACCACGATCATAACGTAGATGAAATCTTTGCCATCGTGTATTACGTGATGTTGATGCGTCAACACGAACACTAAAACGATCAGGCCAGCGAATACCAGCTTGTTGAAGAGACATTAAAGTTTGACTTGGACCAAAAGCACAAAATACACCTTTTGGTGGAGCTAATTGAGTAGGATTTTCTATAATTCCTGGTCTGTATGCATAAACATTAAATATTTCATCAAATTCAATAACTTGTGTACCATTTGGAAATGCAACTGAAGCATTGATAATTGCTTGAACTGGAAAAGCTATATCACCAACAGTACCAATTGGTGCTTCATAACCTTTTTGTGCAAATGACCATGCACGTCGATAAGTTCGAAAATTAACTCGATCAACTATACAAGATTCCCATTGATCGACTGGAATTCCACGTACTATACTTGTACCAAGATATTTTGGTTGAATTGCTGGTCGCCGTGGATCATTACTAGAAAATAGTAGAAATTCATTCAATGGACGAATATGCCATGAATTATCTGCTAATTGAATAGCCGATGTGCCATCTAATAAATAAATAAATAAACAAACTTAGTTAAATATAAAATTTGTGTCAAATATTTGAACATACCTATGTCAATATTCGTGGTAATATTACTAACGTAACAAATATCTCCTCGGTAGTAAGTGGCTTTTTTCATTTTATCATAATGAAAATATTCAACATCAACAAAACCATTAGCATTTTGGACCAAAATTAACTTATTAGCTTGATAATCATATAAATATTGATACATAGTTAAAACACTCTGTAATGTCACATTTAATATATGTTTTACTTCTACCCTCTGTAAAGTAAATTCCGTTTGATTTGGAAATATTGGTAAAGGTCTATCATTTGTCACGGGCGCTGATGGATCAACTGTGCATAATCTCGGATCACCATTCCAGCTAGATGGTGAAATTGTTGTAGTTTCTTGTGCATAATATCCAGAGATTAATAATACGAACAGATATAAGATTCTGTATTCTTTCATGCTTATTTCAAGATGAATAAATGAAAATGATACGAATTTAATGCTTGTATAGAAGTAAAATAAGAAAAATGATAAGATAAAATATTTAACTATAAAAAAATACAAAAAAAAAAGGACAATAAAGAGACAATGTTGGTAGAATTTGTTTTGTTGTCCGAAGATAAGAGAAGTAAACTTTAAAATTAGATGCTTGAAGAAGTTAACAAATATTGTCACATTCTATTTTAATGTTTTGTCTGTTTTTCTCTACTCAAATACTTCGGTTTTTGTTTTCATGACAAAAGAAAAATTCACTTAGCAATGTTGATTGTTGCGATTAAGAGAAAAATTATTCTTCAATGTAAGATCAAATCAGACCAAAACATGCATAATATTGTATTCATGGTGAATAAACGAAATGATAATAAATTTTCTCTAAAAGTATCACTCGAATTCAATTCTAATTCTGGTCTATTCATCATTCAGTCTATAATGATCTTCGGACTATACAATGAAAACTAGTGATGTATCAAATTCTTTTTTTATTTCTATTAAGTCTTACGAATATTGAATGGTCTTCTCATGGCTGACATTGTTGATTATCATTTTCGAATACATTTTATTCTTATATTTGTTGGCAAATCGTAATATGAAATGATGAAAAACTTCAATGTTTAAGAATAGTTCTATGCCTTTCACTCAACAATTTATAAAATATCATTTCTATATTCGAATTTGTTTAAATTTTTTATTTTACACCTTATGTAATAGCATGTTATTTTTATTATGAATCAAGTATGACTTCACAAATAGAGTTTTATCAAAATAAAACTTTCTTCGTTATTCTCACAAATAGACACTATCTGTTTCTTTTGTGTTTTATCTTACTCTGTTAACCTTGACTCTGTTAAATAACAGAACAAACATGTCCACCAGATATTAGTATTATCAGATGTAAAACACAAATTAGTAACTGAAACAAAACAATATCTCGTTTTGTAAGATGTTAAGCATAAAAAGCAGTCGTTTTTCTATATGTATGGGTCATTTCTGGCAAAACGGAACATACGAACCTTTCATTTGACCTTGATTATTTACAAGAGTTACTCTTCTAAATAAGTTCTGTTAGAATAAACATATGTTAAAGCCTTGGCTCTTTTTCAGCTGACGGTTAGTTAGCTGACAAGTCATTAGCAAATATCTCTTCAACCATATGAGGAAAACATCTGAAAACTTCAGAATAAAGTCTATAGCACGTACTATATCTATTGTGTAATTTTCAGCAAGATTGGATTAAAAAAAAAACTTCCTCTTAAAAACAGATTTTCTAAAAATAGTATCAAATTTCGAAATAAAATTTTTTATCGTACCATCATGTAGAAATTATGAAAAAGAATTTCTATCATTTGAATTTGGTTTTAAAATTCTCATTCCATTATAAGAGCATTTTTTTCGTACTTTCTCACGTCGTTAATCAAAATTAAATCGATTTTTTTTTTTGAAAAATCTATATGTATTCAGAAAAAAATTTGAATCGAAATTGCCGTAGACTCAGAAGTTGTCTATAGAATATAATATTTAGTTTTACTAACGAATAGTTTTGCTTATAAATACAGTATATATAGACAATACGAATATGTGATAAAAATCTTATATTTTTTTTTGCTATGTAGTATTACAAGAATTAATTGAGTCAAGTATTCATAGTTTATTTTTGTAGATAAAAACACTTCTTATTTTTCTCTAGATAGTAATTATTATTCTTTTCTTTTGAAATAAATCAAGAAAAATTTTGAGTTCTTTAAAATAGATGTGTAACTTATCTCTAAAGAAAAGGATTACCAGACGAAAACATAAATCAAACAAAGAAAAAATAAATCAATAAAATTCGGAATAAATACAAAAAAAAGGTGTGCTATGAAATTACAAGAAAATCATGGGTAACATAAAGTAATGGTTTTGCGGGGAAAAAAAAACTCTATTTGAAATTTAGTTTTAAAAAAACTTTTTGGGTTTTCAAGATGGAATTTATTTTGATGGAAATGTATGTCAATTATTGCCATAAACGAGTTGGTTTAATATTCGATTCATAGCACAAATCATTTCTACCAACAGTTGAGGTTGTTGTTGTTCTGTAGACAACAGGTTCTTGTTTAACAAGATTTCGGCATATTGGTTGTATTTGTTGTTGTTGTCCAGTAAGTAGAATTGAATTGGGACTATTAGTTAACATAATTGCTTGGCCCGTACCAATATTTGTTGTTTGACAATCCCGATTGATCAAACTAAGATTTAAAGAAAACAAAAAGTTATTTTTTTTTGTTTTCAAGTTTACAATATATAAATTTTCGGTGCAACAGGATATAAAAGAAGTGGCAAAGGTATAAAGGGCAGAAATCTGTACCCATAGAGACCGTAACAGACGTTCTCCAAAGATCATCACAGATTGTGCCCAGATGGTATTATAGACTGTGACAGACATTGTTGATATGCGGGTACTGCCCCAATATCAATAACAGCTAGCTACAACCTATGAACTATTTTCTTATTATATTTCTGATGAATTAAGTACAATAAGAGTGAAGAAATGTGTTCCAAGATACATAGAATAAAAACAATCTCCTTGTGATTAACAACAACAGTTACATTATGTTTCACAATTTAATACCGAAAGGATTGTGATAATAGGGTTCTTTTTACTTGATAGGAATAGTTGATGATGAATTATCATTAGTTGTTACAACGGTAGCATTTGTTAAGGATGCTAAGAAGTTCGATGTCAATTGTGACGCAAGTGCACTTAAATCAATCGATGAAACACTCATATCCGGACCAACTAAAACAATAAAAAAAATTTAAAACAAAAATTTTATAGTTATATAGTAACTATTTTAACCTGTCATAATGCGACCAATATGTGTTGTTGGTTGTTGAGCTATAAAATGATTCATCGGTGTATGTGAAGATTGTGTTACCTAAGATTAAAAGGAAAAAGAATTCTTTGATTTTCTTTTTGTTCTCTATTATTAATATTATTATTTTAAATTGTTTGATTTTTTTTTTTTTATTTACATGAGTTGTATTTGAGTGAAGATTAGTATTATTTCTATATTGGTTAACATCAATAGATTTCGGAATAGGATAATTGGGAATGTGATTTATTATTGTTGTTGATACTGGTTGTTCATCAGGTGAAGATGTTAAATATTGAAAATCGGGTAAAACTGTTGTTTTAGTATTATTATTATTTTTAAGGAATGTCATATCATGGCTATTATTATTTGATGATGAACAACTGAGATTGCTATTGACAAGAAACTAGAAGAATAATAAATAATAATGATGATCAATGTATGCACGTGTGAACATATTTACATTATTAACACTTTCAGCAAATGTTTGTTCGTCACTTTCATCATTTTCTTCGATCATTTCAATATCTTCAGTATTACCATTTATTGTTGGTTTCATTGTTGAATGTTTTTTATTTAAGATCTTTATTTTTCGAATAAATTTGATTAATTGAAGACGAAAAAAGAAAAACAATAGAAATATATACTTACATCAATAATATCAATATTAGTACATGACTCATGAGGTTCATTATATTCAGCATATTTTAATAAAACTTTATCCATATCGGATGATGCATATTGAAATAGACGACCATTGCTATTAAATATCATTAATGCTATTTCACAACCACATAATACCGATAATTCATAAGCTTTTTTCATTAAACCAAATTTACGCTTTGTAAATGTAACTTGACGAGTACGATCGTCATTAATACGAGTTATATTAATCTTTTTACGTCCCATTATTTTTTTTGTTGATGTACTTTTGTTATTATTAGTAATCTTATATTTTATCGATGTATTATTTTCGTGTAACATACTCTATTATATGAATAAAAGCTTTGCTTGTTATAATATGTCGTTGATTTAAATTAAAATGGATAATGTTCTTGGCATATAGCCAAAATTATTGTTCTTAATAGAAAAAGAAAGAAAAACAATAAGTCTATAGCTATGATGATCTCATAACCTTAAATAAATGAATGCAAGGATGAATCCTTGACATTTTCACAATAGAAACATATAGCTAAATCTCAACGCTAAGAGGAAGAATATATCCATGCCTTAAAGACTAATTCTTGAAAAAAGATTTATTTAATTCTTTTAACTTATAGCTTAATTTTTAATTTTAGTTTCACTCTATTCATTATTTTCTCATATTTTTATTGGATAACACATATTTATAATATGTATAAGACACAAATTAAGAGTATATTAGATGTCTTTTTCTTCTTTTAATCAATATATAAGCATTCGTTTCCAATTTTAATATTCGATATATTGGAAAAGTATTCAATTTTCTTACTTACTCGAATAGAGTCTTTGAGAAAAAAACACAAACGCAAATAAACAGTGATACAACACAAATCTATCCTTGTTTCCTTTGCGCTCGACGAACAAAAATCAGAAAGCAGATGGCTTATAAGTATATATATATATACATATATTCTTTCTATGTCTTTTCCTAATGTTATTCTTTTTTTTTCTCGCTCTTTCTTGTAAAAGTGCATAAAAGATAATACCCATAGCGCTTTTCTGGGTACTACTCGTCTTATGCATAATTCGACAAACAAAATCGTAGGCGTTATACATTGTGGTTTGATGTCTTGTCATTTGATAAAAGTCTCCGTACCTAAGGAAAAGAAGATAACGATAATCAGACACATATGCATTAAAAAGAAAAAAAAAACAAGGTGCTATTGTACTATTTATCTATCGTTTTATATCAATAAATTTCCTTTCATATCTCATCAGCATTTATTTTTCCAAGTCAATCAGAAGTTGATGTGCATTTGAATATCAATTATTGAATTATTCTTATATCTTGATAATATATGTATATATATGTAATGATACAAGTGTATCAAATATTATTATCAAGTCAATATTGAACCTGTCATCCATAATAATAAGTCAATAATGAGAAAAATATTCTTTTTCGAAATCAATTTATTTACAATGAGAAAGAAAAAGACGATAAATCAATGAACTAACTAAGAAAATATAGTTACATATATATGTAGTTAAGAATAAATAAGTTTAGTTTACAATCGTTTTTCAAATGTTTCATCAAATGGTTTAACAAAATGATGATTTTTTGATCCACAATGGCCACATTCAAATTCAGATGAATAATTACTAAAATTAATAAGACCATCCTTAATTGAAACAATTGGTTGAAAACATTTCGAACATGATAATCTTGCTTGACAACATGGAAATGCTGCAAACAGATCTATAAAACAAAAGAAAAGAAAAGAAAAGAAAACAAATAGTAGATAAACAAAAGACTAATCAACATACCATAATAATAAAGCGTACCGAAAATAATTGGATCAAAATTAAATTTAGTCTTACATAAACGACAAAGTACATGTAATGAACGCATGGATAAACATTCAAGACATATGCCATGTAAATATAGTTGCCGATCATTATGATAAACAGCAATAGAAACTTTTCCATTGTCACTATGTTTGATAGGACTAGAAAATAAAAAGGTTAAAACAAATTACTAAACAATGATTTAATGTCAATATAATTGATTTTCTCCAAAAATACATATATCTTATCTGTGATTCGACATCATAATTCTTTTCCAGATGTCGAAGAATGGTCATGTCACAGTGACAATGTCATTTCAGAGATATTTACCTTAAAAAAAGTGTACCATCAACAAGAGGATAACGATCATAGACAACCATTGATTGACCACAAACTGTACATGTTACATCTGTACAACCGACCATCGATAATTGAGATAAAACAAAACATCGTGTTTCATCATTTCCATAAGGACCTTCATCTTCAAGACGAATATGTATTGCATTTCGTTTATGTAATGGAAGACGATTAAGTATTGACCAATCTTGACGATGTTCAAAAATATTTCCAGCTGCAGCATGTTTTTCATCGAATTGAGGTAATGTTCCAGCATTATTACCAGTACTCATCGAGGTTGATAGTGAACCAATAGTATTATTTCCAGTAGAACTAGAAGCGGTCTTTTTACTATGTACTGATGTTGCTCCACCATTAGTATTGTTTATATTGGTTAAACCCGATGGAGAACCAAATGAAGAGGATAAACTACCTGAACTATGTGTACGATATCGTGATGAACGACCACCACGAGGTACATTCAATGGTTGAGACCGATCGGTGTCTGTCATCTATAAAATCAAGAAAAAAAAAACAAAAAACTTAACAAAACAAAAAAACAGATGTTAATTTTGTTATTTTTTTTCTATTTGGAAAAACAATGAAAAACAACAACAATAACAATTATTTGGTTTTTTGCAATTTTCGATATTCTCCTTCTTGCATTGATAATTGTGCATGAATATCTTTGACTTTGCGTTTTCGTTGTGCATCTCTATAGAAAAATAGAAAGTTGTAAATACATAAAATTCTAGAACAAGAAAAAAAAACATACTTTTCCATTTGTTGTTTAAGTTCTTCGCGTGCTATAAATTGATTATCAAGTACGAGTGTACGAGTAGCGGATTTCAATTCACGTTTGTATTTTTGTCGAATATGTAAACGTTCAGCATATTCTTTCGGTAGACGATTATTCTTTTTACCTTCATATCTATATTTTCCCAAAAACGAAAAAAAATTTTAAAAAAAGAAAACAGAAACTTAAATTTTTAACATACACTGGCCCAAAACGAGGTTCAAATAATTTTAACATTTTTGCCTGTTCTTTGCCTTGTTCAAGATGTTTACGATTAGTAAGACATGTTGTTTGAATTGTATCAATTAAAGTTACAATTTCTCGACATTGAGACTAAATCAATTCATAATAGACATACAAAAACAATAAAGAAAATTTTTTTTTTACTAATATATGACTGCATTTGGATGTATCAGCAATAATAATAAGAAAAGATTTAAATGGTTCAGCGATTTCCACAATTGCTGAAAGTGATTGATAAATTTTAAGAAAATCAGTTAGATGATTGAGACATGTTTGAAGAATGAGTGCACTGTAATAGAAAATAAATCAATTTCGATCGATTAATAATAATTTGAGTTTTAATATAATTTGAAAATTGAAAAAGGAAAAAGATATTGTTCAAATTTGTGGTGAAATTTTTCATTTGATTTTATAAATGAAAAAATTTCTTAGGATTTAAAACTGTCTTGTTTTAGTTTTCGATACAATGAAGAAAATAGTTGATTCTTACCGATGTTCATCATTATTATCATCTAGATCGTTGGTATCAAAAATGGTTAGTTGAGTTGAATTGGATCTAAAAATATTTCCAATTCATATATAATATGATTTCGTAATCGTTTTGTATTTCTAATAGTTTTTAAATCAGTCCTATACTATCCTACTTTTCAAGCATCCCAGCTTTATTTTTCACAAAACATGAACGCTTTGTTTTTTTTTTGTTACATCCTAGTTGAACAATAGAGTATTTGTACGTTTCGTATTTTACTGTAAACTAGATCGGTGTTGTTTTAAGATCGTCATGTTACTAGATGAAGAAATAGAGTCGTATAATAGTGAGATTACGGATCATATAAGGTGAAAATGCATTCTGTTTACTGCCATAAATTTGCCATTTTGTCCCGTTTATTGACAGAATATGAACCCTGAACGATATCTGTTTCGATTGATCTGGGTATATGATGCCATATTACAGTAGTCAAAATTATGAAAAAAACCATCGTCTGACACATATTCCAAGTCAAAGCGTTCCTTGTACATAGATGTACATAATCTCACTAATTAGAAATAATAACACAATGCTCAGCGGGTAGCCACAGCATGTGTCTACGAGGAGGCTATCCAGTCCATGAGAAAAACAAGGTTTAGCTATGTCTTTTCAGATAATGTGTAAGAGGATCTTAATATTTTTTTTAGCGCAATACAAATAGTCAGGTTCATGTTTCGGGTAACATTTGTATTCATATCAATGAAACGAAGTCAAATAACTGGTTGTCAAAAAGCATTCTGATCAAATATAAACACGTTTTTTAGCCGTTGTAGAAATTTTACAATATTGAGTGTGAATCAATACAGGTTCAACATTTCTCTAAGGCTTCGAGTTTAGCAGTTATGACTCGATCTCTCAGAATCGCGAAGTTTAAGTTGGGACGGAGGAAATTAACGTGTTTTGTAGCAGCCATCTCCCGTACTACATACGTTATATTATCGATTGTTTTGCACAATTGAAGGCGACGTTCTTCTCAATAGAATATCAAAATGCTCATAGTTGATAAATGATTTGAAGCAAACTAATCATTACCTATCTATTTCATAGAGGAATGTTTGTTATTTCATTGAATATACTTGAGATAATTTTTGCTTATAGTTTGAGTAAGTTTTAGCACGCTAAAGTTTATTCAAAATCAATTTACAAGCGTTGAAAATGTGAGTTTATAACTCTTAAATACTCAATCAAATGTTGTCAAGTTATTGCAAGCCACTTTAAGATGCTGAGAAATGTATGATGAACGGTGTTCAATACGGATTTGAAGGTCAAGAGCACCAGATGGTGTGTGTGAGACAAGAATGTGTACGCAAGTGTCTTTGACAGAGTCTCAAATAATACTCAATCTAACAATGAGTACATTTATAAATTCGATCCGAAATGAAAGAGCAAATACTTATCTTCAAACATATCTATTTAAAAAACTCGTCAGACTTAATGAACAGAACGCCAAGCGGTTTCCAAAAAACAAATTAGTATGAATACAGTTCCATTTATTGGAAACTTTGTCTTTTAAAACAAAAAGGTCATTTAGACGTATTTAAACTACATCTTCTTTGTTACATAGGCAATCTTACATAGAGCTCATCAGGTGGGTCCGAGACCGAAAATTTTGGATCGAAGAGACTCTAATTTTTAATGATATTACAAAGTTCATGATACTCCTAAAACTTTTCTCTTGTCATAAACTAGTATCTTATATATATATCTAGCAAAATTCTATTCAATTGATGCTTTTAATTTTCTAAAATTTTCTCCTAGTGATCTTACGAAGCCAATATATAATGAATAAGGTTTTTTTTTTAACTTACAAGTCATTATTTTTATTCAAAACAAGTAATTGATTATTTCCAATTTGTTTCGATGAAAAGGATATAAAGTATTGAGATTTTTCAATTGGACATGCAAGTTGAATTAATTTAATTAATAAAACAATTACTTCTGGTACATAACGATGACTTTTTGATATCCACTATAGAAAAAAATTTATTTAAAAAAAAAGAAAATTCTTAATCATTAAAATTGTCTTACTTGTTTTACTAAATCAATTAAAAATAATGCTTGTCGACATGAATTAAGAGATTTGAGAGAACTCTTTGAAAAATAAAACAAACATTTAAATATTCTTAGATATTTTAAAATTAATTCATACATGATTTATAGCTTGAACAAGTAATGTTATTGCTGGTGTTGTTATTGGATGAGAAAAATCTGATGTTGGATAAAGATGAGCAATTAATTTTAAAAAAAGAATCTAATTTGAAAATAAAAATTTCATTGAGAACAAAAAGAAACAAGAGAAACAATAATAACATCACATACAAATGATAAATCCACTTGATAAAATTTGTCATTTTCAATTTGTTCACTTAAAGTAATATGATATTGTTTTAATCGATTGATTATATTTGTTTTTATTTGTTCATTATTAACTAATTGTAAGAGATGAAGAAGATTTTTACCAATTTGATTTAATAAAATTTTATTCGATGTGACTGATTCATAATAATCAAGTAAAACATCAAAATAATTCTAAATTAATAATAAAAGGATTTTTTTAAATAATTTTGTAGAAAGAAAAAGAAAAAAAAAACAAATTTACACTTAGAACTGATTTTGGTATTGGTGGTAATCGTTTATCATTAATTCGTTTCCAAATAGTGCTCAATGCATTTTTATCATCAGATAGACGAGTTTGAAGTTTATCAATATCTGATGGAACTATAACAAAGCAAAAATGTTCGAAAAAGAAAATTTCATACGGACATAGTTTAGTAAAATGAATGAGAGTTATAATTTTATTAAAGTGTTCAGATTTTAATATTCATTGAGGAGAAAATTAGTTGTAAAATTTTGATATATGTATTATGGTAGTTCATTAGATATATCAAATAGAAAATTTTTTTCCTTTATAATACAGTTTAATACGGTTGGCAGCAGAGATGAGCGAGGCCGCTAAAATAGCGCCCCACCCGATCTTCCAACCACATATTTTTAAGGGCCATAATTTTGTAGTCACTCTCATAAATACTTCTTTATTTCATGGTATGACATTATATAACTCCAATGCATATAAGTAAGGAGCATGGGTGTGGTTGTTAATGCAGTAAGGCTGTGCAAGGACTGAGAAATAGTAATTCCTCATTAGTTTCCCTGCAGTTCAGTGAATATGATAGCTAAAAATATAAAATATTCACGATATTTTTTCCTCTGACACACATTTTCACCCGAGAAGCTATAAAAGAAATAATTACGTGCACAAACTGTTTTAAAAAAAGTATTACCTCGACTTTCATGAATCGGGTGACTGTGCAGCAACCAACAGTCGATTCCAATTTTTCTTAGACTTATCACAGCGGGACTGACTATTCCTCGACAGATTAAGAATTCCTATTTGTCAGCCCTTGGACATTGCCATCTCCTACGGGTAAAGTGAGCACTTTTCCGAATTTCGGGATATGTGGCAGTACTCTGAAAAAAAAATAGTAATTCCAATGCACGGAGAAACCGTAAAATTTAGCAGTGCACCGCCACCGCCCCGCCGAGATGTCACACCGCGTTTTGCTTATCCCTGTTTGGCAGTACTAATGACGCTTATTGAGAGAAAAAAACAAATATTTACATTTTATATCAAAAATATTGTCAATCTTGATTATATTGTTGTTTTTTACGGAAAGTTTTCCATAAAAAGAATATTCCTTTGTCGAGATACTAAAATTCCAATAAATAGTCGATCGCCAGTTGTATGTCATAAAAATCGAGTTTACTTAGAAATTCAATATTTCGATAAACGAACAATCTTTTTGACTGAAATTTTCAAGATAACAGGTGATTTGAAGATTTCGCAGCGAACAAATTTATTTTTGGCTTCCTGGGAAGTGTTTCCGAGCAGTGAAAAGCTATTTATCAAGATCGACATATTTTATACTTTCCGAAAATGACCTTAGAAATTTGATCTTAGTTTTTGTTCGAGAGTAATGAGATAATCTTTGAAAGATCCAAAAATGAGTTAGAACAAAAATTGTAAGTCAAAATTTCTACTGCAAATGATTGTTCATTTTTCTCTGTTTGGATATATCTCAAACAAGTCAAAAACTACGAATGAAGACCAAACTTTTTTTTTACTCTCTTTGAAAATTACATTAGAAATATTGTATCTACTTTTTTTTTCAAAACTAGTGAAGGAATTATTAAAACACCTAAAACAAATATATGATGAATAGTAAAGCAATGGGCTTTTGCTAACTTTTAAAGTTTGTTTTCAAAGATATCACCTATTGTTGGAGCCAATTGTTTTAAGCCTTTCATAAGATCATCTGATGAGTCTCAAGAAAATTTCTAAGCTTACATTTATATATATTAGAAGTCAATAGACACATCTATAGGAGGAATTTTAGGTCGAAAATTCAGTAAAACAGTCATAACTTTTCATCAGTAGGACACGAGTCCAAATACTTGTAAACTTTTATTAGTGATGCCGAAATTCACTCGATTAGTGTTCCATAGTTGGATTCCTTGGTAAGATTTTCAAAATCTATCGTAGTGTTTCTAACAAGAAAAATTTAAATGACATACTGTCTTCATATTCTGCTATTAAATCACCATTTGTCTAAAATATAAAAAAGAAATTGAAATTTGATCATTCAAATTTTTATAATATTTACTGTTTGTTCATCTTCTTCTTCATCCTCATCTTCATTATTCATCATTGTTGTATTATCTTCGTTTTCTTCTGTTTCATTCGTTGATACAGTTTCATTCTTATCAACCTTATTATCATTATCATCATCTTCAAATGTAACATATTTTTTTGATCCATCCATGATATAATAACTATCAGTAAAAAAAGATCAAAATCTTATTTCTATTAATAAGTATCAAACATTTTGCCAAACCTTTCATCTAATTCTTCAACATAAATATGTGCTTGTGATTTATTTTTCGATAATATGGATTTTAATGTTGGTTGTTCCATACGTTGATTTTCTTCAACCTTTATTTTATAATACAAAAATAAAAATTCAATATGAACTAAAGATTTATATTTACTTGTAATGTTTTTAATCGTTCAGCTGTTTCTTTTTCTTTTTCTTCAATTGTTTTAATTGGTACACCCTTTAAAAAAAAAAAAAGACAAACAAAAAAGAATATATTTTGAAAATTAGTAATTAAAATAACAAACTGTTGTTTTAGCTTCAAATCTTAATGAATTAACAAGTTTATCATAATCATCAGATTTTTCTTTAATATCTTTAGATTTTTTTTCTTTAATACCCATTAATGTACTTAATGCTTTCCATTGTTCATCAAGAGTTTGTGTCATATCATAAAGTTTTTCATTTTCACGTTGACGTTCATATTTATCTAATTTTGTACTTTTAATCATATTATCAATCCATTCTTGTTTTGTTTGTGGTTTACGTTGTTCATTTGAAGATTTAAAACCACCAAAAAAATGTTCAGAATTTAAACGACCTTTATTTAAATCATCATCATCATCATAATCATCAATAATTGGTTTTTGATTAAGTTCATCAAATTTTGATAATGATTGTCCATAATGTGTTAAATCTTCTTCATCATTTAAATTATAACGACTTTCTTTACCAGGACGAGTTTTCTATACGAAATAATTTTACATGAAGAAAAAAAAAAATTGTTGTCTTTTTTTAATAAAAAAAAAAAAAAAAGATAACAAACAGTTCGTTCCGCAATTAAACGTTGCATTAATTTTTCATCATTGGTTAATGTTGGATCATTTTCACCAAGACGATGATCAATAAATGTATTTTGTTTAAATACAGAATTTAATTCTTTTAATAATGTACGTTTTCTCTATAAAATAAAAAAACAAGACATATATATATATATATATGTCTATGAATTAATGAAATAAAAAATTACTTTTTCAATGCCACGTGAACGAGATTTAAGTGGTTGACCACCTTTTTCATAATTACGTCGCTTACCAAGTACATCATGTTTTAAACGATTAACATGTAGATCGAATGGATTGACTTTATTTACTGTATCAACACGAGTTTTAGAATTATGTTTATCAGTTGTATATGTACGACGTTTTTTAGATTTTGTTTTTGTCTTAACCATTATTGTTTTTTTGCTTTGAATAATCAAAATACTAAAAATTTAAAAAAAAGTTTGACCAAAATCAATATGTTTTGAAGTGATGATAGATAATGATGGCTTGTGGAAGAGTCAGATCTAACCAATAAAAACATTTTTTATATTTATATTTTCGAGATGTCACTAGTATTCATCAGAACAAAATAAATTGATGACAAATAACTAAAGAATAAAAGAAAGTAGTATATAATGAATTATAATTGCTACTATGGCTGAATGGTTATCTTGTTTAACAAATATTCACAAAGTACTGTATGCAAACTTCAGTATCACCAGCCATAGAGTGACTCTGGGTATGTTACTAAACGCTATTCGTGTCGGATCACCGATCCCATAGCGTGCTAAGTTGTGACTACATCTACTCTTGTAGTTAGTTAGTGTGTATGAGAAGCCCTAGAATGCTGCATCATACCCGCCTTCTGTCCATAGAGACATCTATATCGTCAAGTAGCCGAAAGTCAGGGTTATTCTTCGTCTTCCTTCTGATTATGTTTTTTTGTAAGACAGATATATGCATATATAATAAATAGTCAGGCGACTTTGTCTTACGATATCATAGAATCTGCTTGTATCGCATATATGTGGATATGATAAAACATTTGTGCATTTCTAACGCTATACTATCTGTAATGATTTCGATATTATAATGTTTTAATAGATTAGAATTTAACTTCATAAGAGCAATACAAGCATCAAACATAGACTGTTTTAGAGATACATAACGATCCGAAAGACTGAGATACTACAGAAGAAAAAAATATGACAAAGTTCATTATTTTTATGAAAATACGTTATAGCGAGAGGTTTGATTATTGCAACAGCCTACCAACTCTACAATGAAAATTCATAAGAGCTAGTTAGAATTACATCACATTGATAGCAATATTGGAAAATATCAACAATTAGGAGAATTTTTATTTAATTAATTTTTCGATAAATATATAAGAAAAATATATGTGTATAATATATGGCTGAATTCAAAATAAAAATCTATAATGAAAATAAACTTCATTCAGTATTACTTTGAAAATTTCGAGAAGGATGGATTCATGTATTTAAGTTGATGATTTTGGAACTTACTTTACTATTTTGATAGTGATTTATGTAGAGGTTTATTCAAGGATAGTGAATGATCGATATTGAGATTCGCAAAAAATATTGATCAGTTCTTTTTACAAAGCTTTGTTTTATTTACTCCAAAACTGCTTACTCTATTATATTACATGATCAACTATAAATTTGAAATCAAATAATATTATTCATTTGAATACTGTTTGAAATATTCGCTAAATTTGATTCATTTATTGATTAATCTTCTCTTGAACATAGTACGAAAATCTAAAGATAACTAGTAGATTTCACTAACTACTCACAATATAAATAAATGGTTTCTTTTGTAGATGAAGAGCAGAAACCATTGTCTGTATCGTCGTAGATAGAGATGAAATATTTAATACTGAGATCAATGACGGCGACAGTTGAAGTTTTCGATAATTATTTGTAACAATCTATCGGTCTAAATCTCTAGTTGCAGATCAATTTTAACTATTAGACTTTAAAAAAATACTTCTTTTGCTCTTGTCTCATATTCTAAAATTAATTTATGCATCTATCAACAGTTCATTTATCATAGTTTGATGATATTCTTTGCAATAAGAGATAATTCATTGAATTCAATAGAAAAATAAACAATTTCGATTTATTCAAGTTTAAAATTTGCTTGTATGAATAAATTATAAAACTTAAATGAAACCCCAGAAGAACTGTAACGTTGTATGTTCACTTAGCTCTGTTAATTATTTTTAACACTCTGAATACTTTCATTAGCTATATCAGCTGTTGATGAAATTCTAATATCTCGGTGCCAATTCTGCTGCCAGAAATTTAAATTCTAGAGCAAGGATAAATGATTCGACTTTTTTTTCTTTTTTTACTAAGAATCAAATCTTATATATCATTAATACCATTTGATTAATTTTCTTTGTACTTCTTACATGATTGAAAATATATAAAATCTCAATATACAAAGGTAGGAAAGGTTTATTTATCAAAAGCAAAAGAAAACCAACCATTCTCTATCATTTTTATATGAAAAATTAAGCTGAATTGTTCACAGAAAAATATGTTTTTGTTTCTTCTTTAACGACCCATACCACTGCCAATTTCATAGTTCTGAAAAGCAGCCCATGTTTTGATATCAGGACCTATATAGCGAAAAATTAAACCAAACAATGAAAAAAGAAAAGAATAGATCAAACTTACAATAGCGTGATCCAGTAAGTTTATTAACACTTGGTTCACAACGTTCTTCATATTTTTCAGAGGCTTCTCGTTTTTGTTCTTCGCATTTGGTTTTTCCAGGATGAAAAAATGTTCTTTTCAAGAATTCTACTGCTAACTCATGATCTAAATTAAACAATTTTTATTCTCTGAACTGTTTTTATATATAATATTAAATAATATAATAATTACCGACATCAAAATCATTAGCTTCATTATTTGGTCTTGCCATTGCCATGATCCAGAAAACTGCTATTATAACATACAAAAATAATAATTGTTTCATTGTCGTTATTTCGATTTCAATGAGATTTCTGTAAAAATAAATATTCAATAGTTTTTTTCTTTTTTTTTTTCTAGATAAAACATTGATGATACTTGCCAACTAGGAGATGATATTGTGTTTTATTGGTACTTTTGTATATAAAGATACAATGTGTTTAGATTGTTTTTTTCTTATACTGTATTCCGTGTAGGAGAGATCGATGAATGACGACAGTATTTATTAGATTAAAGGCTTCTATCGTATAGAGAAGAAATTTTCATGTGATGATATCAAATAGATGGTAAAAATCAACATGAAATGTATATTTCAAGTGATGAAAGGAGACAGTTATGGATAGATAACATGATGGATGACTAGAAAATGATTATAAAAAATACGTGTATTATGTTTCTCTTGTGATCTAAAAAGAATTTATTATTTTAAATGACATAGAAATTAGATAATGTAAAAAAGTTGGTATTGCATACATTGTCTTTCATGTATTACTATAAAAAGAATTCGAAAGATGTTAAGTTTGATTAGTGTGAAATTCATTGGAAAGCTTAATGTCTTTGCGTTTACATATGACGGAAAATCTTATCTTGAAACTAATGTATTTCATTGTCCAAATACGATGACATACCATTTTGTTGAACAACGAGCTACCATAGCCAAGTGACTACATAGTTCGGCACATATCCGCGAGATGCTGTGACCGAAATTTGGTATCACCAATTATAGAGTGACTCTGGACAAGTAACTAACGGCTGTTGATCTCTGATGACCTGTCCGATAACATGCCAAGTAAGTTGTGAGATAGACCTGCTCTTGTAGTTAGTTAGTGTATATCACGAACTCAAGCAATAGAGTATAAGAACTCTATATCCACCCAATCTTCTGTTCAGAGCTACAGCTAGTATTTACTGTTAGAAGCATATCGGGCTATCAAATCTACCGTTAGGCAGTGCCCTACATCACAAGGTAGGCTAAAGACAGGAATATTGTTTGTTCCTCGTATTGTACCATTTACTAAATCCATCAAAACTGTGAATACAATTTGAAAAAATATTTCAAACAATGAGAACACTTTCTGTCAATATACCCCTATTAGTAATATAAACTTCATCGATTTCTTCTGTCATTCATGTAGCAAGTTTAAAATGTTAGTTATCTGCTCAAGTACCAGTTTCATAAAAGAATTTAGAAATCTCATTCATACAATCTTCATTTACTGTTTCTCTATCAAATTCAACTGATAGAGTTCGTTTTGTAATTAAAGATGACTCAAAGTTGTCCACCAATAAAATTTTTTCGATTATAATGTTTATAACCATAGACACTTGCACTGAACTATGTTGATTAAAATTTAAACAAACATCCTAGAGTGTTGTATTGAACAGCAGATGAAAAATAGAAGAAAGACTAAAAAAATCTTAAATGTACGGTGCGTTTGAAGATCTTTGCTGGTGTATTTCAAAAGATTACAATCAAGATCGATTTTTTGAAATATATATAAATAGCTGTTATTGTAATCTTTTGGGAAGTATTAATTTTTGTTTCATATCTATCCGTGAAATAATTTATTGTTTAACAAAAAAATTACAATCTAGCATGTGTAAATCTATTGTTTGATTTTCAATCAAAATAGATGAAAATTAAATTTTAAAAAAACGTCGTGCATTACTGTTTAATATTTTTTTACATGTATCTAAATCATTGTCAAAAGTTTTTATTATTAATTCGCCAGGTTTACTTTCACCAAGAGGAAATGGGCAATCCGATCCAAGCATAATATAATTTTCGTTCATTATTTCAACAAGAAATTTTAATGCCCGAGTATCATGAACAAGTGAATCAACATAAAATCGACCAATATAAGATGATGGTAAATGACTATTTTTATATGCACATAAATCTGGTCGACATTCATGTCCATGATCAATACGACCAACAGTAAATGGAAAGGAACCACCACCTAAACAAAAAAAACAACAGTACACTATGAAATCAAATTTTTTATCGATTGATTCACCATGAGCAAATGCTAATCGAAGTTTAGGATATCTTTCTAAAACACCACCCATTAAAATTGAACATATAGCCGATGTTGTTTCAAAAGGCATTCTGTACGATTTGATAATACATGCATATTTAATAACTGACAAGTAATATTTCTTACCCACATAACCATGGCATCCAATAAGCATCAAAACGGCCTCCTGTCGGCATTTCCCATGGATGAATGAATATACAAGCATCAAGTTTTTCAACTTCACACCAAAATTGATCAAGTTCTTCATTATCTAAATTCCATTCATTAACATGTGTACCTATTTGTACACCTTTTAAACCTAATTCATTAACACATCGACGAAGTTCATCAATAGCTAAACGAGGTGCTTGTAATGGAACTGTACCAAGACCAATAAAACGTGTTGGATGTTGTTGACAAATAGATGATATATGATTATTTAATTCACGTGAAAGTTCAAGAACATCTTGATAATTTTTAGATGAATAATTAAATAAAACTGGTATTGTTGAAAGAACTTGCATAGAAATATTTTTTTCATCCATTTCACGAAGACGAACATTAATATCAAAACAATTTGGTTCAATAGTTCGAAAAAATTTTCCATCTTTAAACATATCCAATCGAGGATCACCATCGGCATGTGGTCGTAATTCAAGATATTTTTGAGCAATCGTACTTAACTTGGATGGTAAAATATGGGTGTGTATGTCAATACGAGCCAATGGTGACGATAAATCCATGATGGACAGAATAGAATGATGTACTTTTGTGTATCGATAATCAAGAACGACCGAAATCAAGCGTAACAAGAATAGAACGAAAAAAAGGTTATAGAAACAATACGACGATGACTAATTTTATCTATTTAGAAAACAACAAACAAACTGAAAATAAACAAGCTTTATTTAAACAAATTTTAATTATTTAGCTAACTGTTACATTGTTGAATATAGTTTACATGAACAATTGTTTTAAAGAATTTTATATGACTTTATGAAAATACAAAATAATTTTAAAATGTATAGCATAGATATAACATAGATGTTTATCGCTGTAGCGATTGCTTTCGAGAAACTCTTCGAAAGCCTTTTCTGTTACTGCGCTAAATTACCGCAGTTAGATAGAATTCATCAGATTCACCTTGATCCTGATAGACACCGTTGTGGTATCGCCGCCATAAACATCTCTGTTATGAATTGATTAGCTATCTATGTATATTGAAATAGAATTAGTTAATAAATAAAACTAAACAAAATATATCACTATTAACGGATTTTGTATGTGGGTATTGAATCATTAAAATGCCTATGACGCTATGTCAATATGGCAGATAGATTTTTTTATATATTACTATAGGCAGTGTTCTTGACAGATAAAATTGTAAAAGGATCATCGGGTATAACTATGGTAATGTATCTGTTTTCGCCAAGAAGTTCAATAAGGAGTTGCTGTTAAGTTCTCGTAATAATATTCACAGTACATTGTTGTGTCTATTGGTTTCGATCGATAGACATGGAACTAAAGCCTAACCAGACTAAAATTTTTGGACTCCATTAAGCCGTGCTCTAATACTTTGGATGAAATCTTCGAATCGGAATCGGATATTCATTCGAAAAAAACGAGATACTTTTTTTCTGTTTTTTGGATTCACTGACTAGTGCACTCTACACATCTCTTAATCTACTAGACCACATAGGATCCCAAATGTTCAGATCCGGATTCGACCTGAACTAACTCAACGGACTCTTCATGAAGCTGATATCGATAACTAAGTGATTGGTGCAATCAAATCTATTCATTCACAGTTCAACTTATGTAACATTCAAAACTAGACTACCCAGGTCAAACAATTAGACAGTAAGATCTTACAAGATCGTACCTCTGATCTTGTACGATTTCGTAAGATCAGATGAAAAGTGTACAGAAAATCGTCGTCTAAGAATTCTGTTGATCCGTCGTACTATAAGATTCTTGAAAGACCCTGTTACCGTGCAAGATCTTTCACAAATCTAATAGTATGATCTGATGCAAGATTTCTTAGACTACGATTTTTTGCCAGATTCTTGTAAGATTTCGTCCAGTTTGCAAGATCTTACACGCAGATGACAAGATCTTACGTCAGATTTTCGGACCTGGGTAGTTTCTATATGATACAGTTTTGTTTTTAAATATTGAATGGATTTTATAAAATCGAGTTCGTTCAAAAATACAAAAATAATTGAAAAAAGTAAATCACTTTTGTTCATTTCCGAATATTTATTCTGGATGAATTTTCGTAAAAATTGTTGAAGTATAAAATTTTCAGGCGATTTCATTTTCCATTTCCTGACATTTATTAATCTACAACAAGCGAGAAAACAAATTCTCCAGTTTAAACCAAATTCCATCATTGTGTTTTCTTTTTAAATGTGCAAAAAAAAACAGAAAAAATACAAATATTTAATATGGATAAGGTTCATCGGGTGGTGGTGGTGGTGGTTGCATAATATTATTCAAATATGAATTCTGATCGACAGATGTATATGATGATGAAATATTTCTATTCATATCTATTGTGTTATTCGCATACATAGCTGAATACGGGTATGTATAAGGTTGTGTGCGTTGTTGTATTGAATTTTGTGTTATTCGATCATTATTTTGAAGTGGCGATTGTTGATGATATTCTGGCCAAAAACCACTATGTTCTTGTTGAGCACGAGACATTTGTACCATCTAGAAGAAACGCAAAAATTGACAATAAAAGTCTATTAAACAGAAGGCGATTTCCCGATCTTGAAAAATTTTCATTCATTTCTAGCGGAGTTCCGACGATTTTTATCTACTAATTCACTCGATCCCTTTTCAAAATCTAGTCATCTGTATCAAATACTTTTCGATTTGCCCTTTAATTCTAGCAGCCTCACAACATTGCTACTATGAAAAATATACCTGCTCATATTGATTTTGCACCGTTGCATAATATTGCTCATATGGATTTGCAAATGATTGTTTGGATTGTTGATTTCCATATATCGGACCATATGGACCATATCGAAATTGCATTTGTGCTTTTTTTTCTTCTTCTTCTCGTTTACGTTTTAAATCATCCCAACGTATACGTTTAGCGAGAAGACTACCAATAGGTTTTTGTTTTTCTTGACGTACAGCTATTTGTTCTGGTGTTTCATCTTGATAAATAGGACAAAATTCTTGTCGTCGTTCATTTCGTAATGTATCAGCTATTTCAGAAAATGATGTTGCAAGTGCATCTGGAAAAAGTAATTTTTTAGCAGCAGCTACTTTCTTTTCTTGTTCATCTTCATCAGACTCTTGATCAGTTGTAACAGTTGAAGCTTGATTAAGAAGCTTTTGAATTGGATTTGGTGGTGTTGATTCAGATCTTTTATTTGATGTTACGATAGATTCAGTAGGTTTTTTATTATTTGTAGAAAAACTACAGTAAATAGCATTTTTTTCATTAAATGAAACATCTTGATAATGTGTATGTATTGGAATATTTGGTGATTTAGATTTTGATTGATTGTTATCATTAGTTTTTACTTCTGGTTTAGATTCAACAGTATCATGTGATAGTGTGGAAGTGGGATGAATATATTCATCTTTCTTTTGTTTTTTTGGCGAACTAGATAGTTCCGTGTCGGTATTGGTGTTCGCTTCGACTTTTTGTATGTTTGGTGATGATGGTGAATCATCAGGTACAATTGTTGACCTAGGTTGTTCTATTGAGCTTGATGAAGCATTTGATGCATTATCAATAGGTTTTTTCTGTTCTTCTTCCATATTTATTTATCTAGAAAGAATTTTTTGGAAAATTAGATTTGAAAGGTAGAGAAAATTCATTAGCGTATATGAGCAATAAAAATATTTAAACTTTGGGACAAAAACAGTTTGATCCTTTGTATACTAACGATCATTTGTTTGAACTTTTTACTGACGAGAAAACAACTCAAACTGTAAGTCAACGCTTGAGCTAATAAGGCAATCGGAAAAAATTTTATCAGCATAGATCTCTGGAGCCGAGTTATGACTGTTTTATTGATATTTTGTTTCATTTTTAGACATTTATAGACAAAAATCAAATAATGTGATTAGGATCTAAAATTTAGTTCATAGATAGGCCTAATTACTCTTAGAATAATCTTAAAGTTTCAGCCGAAAACAATATTCTATTGTCGATATATTAGATTTCCAACAAATAGTCGTTTGCCACAGGCATATCACGAAAATCGAGTTTACTTGCAAATTCAATATTTCGACAAAGAAATAATCTTTTCAACTGAAACTTTCATGCTATGTTAAAAGCCACCAGATTTATCTATAAGATTATAACTCAGTTCCAAAAATCTATCGGCACGAACTCTTTTAAGACTCCCTTTTCAACGCAAATAGTGAATTATAGTTCGAATAGTTCCCTTGTGAGTATCCGTTCTTTCAAGAATTTAGTTCTTTGATATAACTTGGGAACTGAACATCTATTATTTTTAATAAATATATCGTTTATTATTGTAGAAATACTACAATTGAGTTATTTCTCAGTCGATGTAAAGCCGTTCAAAAAAGCTTCCGTTGATTTTTGCGTCAGTTATAAACAAATGGATAAACAATAATCTTTAAATTATTTTTATTCATGAATACACTATATCTTTAAAAAAAAGTTGTCAATACATCGCTGTGTTAAACTTTAACACTAGAAACATTTTGTATGATTTCAACCAATGATATATTGTTGATTGATCTATAACAAAAAAAAAGAATATGAACACTTGTTCAAGAATATATGAAAATGTCTATGATGTATTTTCTATTGAAAAAAAAAAAAATAATAGGAAAGAGCGTAATTAATTTAAAATGTATCCATTTTCAGATATCTAAACAAAATAAATACATTCTTAGGTGTTAATTTAATCATTTCAATAGTTGTTTACATTCTATCAACGGATATAAGATATATAAAATGTCAAAACTCCAGATGGTTAATTATCTTCTGAAAAATGATCTTGTCATCTCTCATAAAATTCATATCGAATAATACCAGATGTGCTATATAAAGGTCGACAAGTACTAATAGTTAATATAATATATCATCATGCATACTAGACTAATCGAATTTTACTAAATATAAACATTCTCATAATTCAAAGATGATTGTACCATTAAATATTGAGACAAAAATTTATTTTTTTTGTTTACCTCTAATGAAAAATCATAATTGAATGCGCAGAAATTTAATGTATTGTAGGTCTATCTAACCTTGTATTTTACTTAATACATCTATTTTAATATAACTACGCAACATTAGTTCATTGTTTTTCTGTTCATCGATTTTATATTCTACAATTTATAATAAAAATTCTTTATATTTTAATTAAATTTAAAACATACTTGTTTTTACTTCATAGAAATAGATATATTTTAATAGTACGAAATAACCAATATTTTTCTATGATGTTATATCTACAATGTATGTCGATACTGTTTTGCCTTAGAGATATATTTCAATAAACAAATATTTATATATTTATATTGGCAAATTACGGACGAATACAGACAAAAACAAATTAAACGCCAGGATTCTGAGCATTTGCCGAGAACAGCTTTGTACAATACTGATAAATTATTAAAAAAAGAAGAAACATGAAACAAAAACCATAGAGATACAAAATTTATTTAAGACGTTGAGTTATATTAGCCAGAGCAACAGCAAATGCTTGCAACGGTGAAAAAGGCCATTCAAAATCAAGTGTATAACAATTATTTTCAATACGACCAAATTGAATAACCTTTAAGAACATAGATCAATAATATTTAATTATGTTTTATTTTTAACGTAAGAATTGATTACCTGTTTGCCTTTAAATTCAATTTGAAAATTTTTTGCTGACTCAAGTGTTACACGACCACCAAAATCTAATTGATATACTTGGGATTGTTCATTCCACAAGCTTAAATAAATAAAAATGACTTTTTTGTTTTTCTTTTAATTCGTATTATTAAAAATCTTACGGTGGACGATTTTGCATTACATAAAACGATGTATTACTTTGATTATCTAATTGATCATTGTCTGATGATGGTGACAATTTTGTTAAAGAATCATTCATTCCACTAGTACATGTCATCATACGATGTCGTGGACTTGCATATTTCTGAACAAAAACAAAAATATATATTTGTTTTCAATTTCAGCTAGAAACTATTCGCAAAGATTCAACAATGCTTTTGTTTTTAAAGATAGGTCAAGTCTTTTACTCGGATTCTTTAAACTTTGACCATTATTGATTGTCGATATGTGATTATACTCACTTTTCGAGATCCATTATTCATTGTAATTTTTTCTTTTGATAATGTTTGTTCATGTAAACTAAGATTTTTAATTTCATCATCATCATTATCATCATCGTCATCATCATCGTCATCATCAGTATGTATATGTTCATCTTCTTTTGATGTTTGTTGTAAAGATGAAATAGAAAAATATTGATTTGTTGTTGTTGTTGAATTTAATATAATTTGTTGTTGTTCTTGTTCTTGTTCTGTACGTTTTTTAGTTTGATTTAGTGTTGGATCACTTAAACTTAATTTTTTCTGTTGATTACTATTAAATGGATATAAATTACGATATGTTTCAGGTTCAAAACAACTTTCTGGTACATGTGAAACTGTATTAATCATTGTTTGATTATTTGGATTTTCATTACTATCATAACCGGATGAATCATCAATTGCTAATGTTGTTGTTGCACTAGCTGTTGATGCATCAATATTATTTGTCATAGATGATACAGTTGTTTGTGGTGAACAATGACGATAATTTGTTTGTTGATTTGTTATAGTTGTTGAAGATGTTCGAGAAAATTTTGGTGATATAGGTTGTTTAACTTGAATACAAGGTGGAGATATAGGACGAATAAAATTGACTACTGAAGCTGCTGGTGATGTTGAACGACTTAAATTAATTGGTGATGTTGAAGATGAATCAGCAGCTGATGAATCAATATTTGTTGATCGTTGATGATTTATTATAGTTGCTATAGATGTACGTTGTAAACGACGAGATGATCTTTGGGGTGTATATTTAGATTGTATTTGAGATGATTGTCGAGATTCATGTATAGATGATGAAAGAGGTTGTTGATATAGAAGTAAACTTGAACGAATATTTGATAATTGTGGAGACATTGGAGCAATAGGAATACTTGATGAATGTTTTTTTTCATTATCTATGATTTCATCGATTTTATTACGTTTTAATTGTTTTGTTTTACGACTAGGAGGATTTATTATTTTCTTAGATTTTATTTTAGTATTTGATTGTTGTCTTTGTTTACGAATGTTATCATTATTAGCTACTCTAACTGTCATTTGACGAGGTTGTAAATGTAAAAATGAAGTTTTATAAGTCACACTACCTAAAACATCAGGTAAATGATTTGAATGACCATAAAATTTAAAACGTGTGCCCCATATATTAGCCGCTATTGTACATAATTTGTTGTTCTAAAAGAAAAATATTTATGTCATAAAATAAAACATTCTCAGTCAATATTTTATCTGGATTTTATCTTTAGGAAAAAAGATTTAAATAAAACCGTAGGGAAGAAAACATACGTTTTTGTAAACATAAACACTATTCCACACAATAATAGGCTTCTCATCTTCTTTTGTGTCCCATTTAAAAAATTTTTCAAAAAAAAAAATGAAATGATTTCGAAAAATAAAGAATAAATGTTGGGTATTACTAAGATAGAAATATTCTACAATGAATATGATCAATTCATTTGAAAATTCCTATGATACAACAAGTCTATTATGAATCTTTTTATAATCGTAGAACTGAATGATATGAAGTTAGCACTACGACATACATTTTACTATCTTAGAGTGTGCTAATTGCTAAGATCTTCAGTATTCTATCATGAGCTTTAATGATAATAAAGTAGACCATATAGCATTTACGTTTAATGTTGGAAAATAACAATAGAAGCTTGTGGAATGACAAACAAAAACATGTTGAGTGCATTTTTCCATTGAGCATGTTGTTTCATAAGGGAAATAAAACATAAATGTAAGAAAACTGTTTTTACTCAAATGTTGTTTCTTTTTTTCAGATTCTTCTTAGCTATTATCATTGAGAAGAACAGTCAAAAATACAATAGCTCTAAACTTCTATTCGATACTATAAATGTGAATCACTGGAAAGTGAGGTGATGCTTGTGATCAGAGTTTATTATTATATGCATGTACTCAAACTATCAGCTCAATATCATAAAATATGGTAGGATTTCATTGCAAGTGATTAGTTTTGTTTAGAACTATATTTATGAATTTAAAATTTTTGTAAAATATCTTCAACAATAATTGTTTTAAGAAAACTATTATATGATAAGATCAAAAGAAAAAATATCTTTTTCTTTTGTTGCTATAAAACTCTTAGGCATTTTAGTTTATTTACTTTGACTTCTGTTTTTCTTTTTGATTGTTTTTCTTGTAAATCACCCATATTGCCATCAATTTCATCATCTGTATCATTTTCTGAACTACAACCAGAACTACTTTTTGTAGTTATTATATTTTCATGACCATGATGAACATTTGTTTCAGCCACATATATAGAATTTCGGTTACCAATTAAAATTGAACGATTATTATTATTATTAGTATCATTATTATTTACAAATTTTGATTGTTGAATATTTGATATATTATTTAATGTATTTGAATTGTACCTTAATGACAAAAATTTTTTTCTGGTTAATAATTTTGATGAATTGAGTTTTGAT